AAACGAGCAAAGATGTACAATTGTTGTACGTTACTAAAATATATATCTAGAGTTAATTAAATATATGTTTTAATAATCTAAATATTTAATTTCAATTAATTAAATATATATTTAATTAATTTGAAATAATAAAATCCCTAATATGATTAGGATAACTTGGATATAAGAGGATTATTAAATTTCAATTAATTAAATATATATTTAATTAATTTGAAATAATAAAATCCTAATATAATTAGGGTAACTTGACTATAAAAGGGTGTGTTAGGTCTAGCAGCCATTGTACAACACACACTCAAAACCTTCAGCCGTTTTCTCTCAAAAGAGTTTTGGGGAAAACAAAAATTGCTCTCAATCGGGTGAACTGAGTAGAGGTCGAGACATTTTCGTGGAGGCTTAAGATTTGAACCGATTTACACAACCAGTTTCATTGTTGTCCTTGCTGTTTTTCAAGAACCCCACTGTAAGTATTCGCATCTCTTCCTCCGGATTTTAGTTTTTCGTACTTGGATCGTTGGTGAGACCGTCGAGTTTTGTTTCCGCTGCGCCATGGGGTGCGCCGACGGTCCCAACAAAGCGGTTACTCCGCTTATTTAGAGTTGCTTTCTTGTGGAAATAAGAGGTATTACGATCTCCCATATGGACCCAATCAGTTCGAGATTTCTGCTTCCAAAGAAGCTCTTCCTGATCTAAGGTATGTCCAAGCTCGAGTTGAAGGCAAGATTCCAGATGAACTAATATGAGGATCGACGCTGGTCAAGGCACCTCTGAACACCTCTCAAGCGAGCTATAAGGGACTTTTTCCGTTGCGTGAGAGAGCCAAAAACTGTCTTGTTCCAATCTGCTGCATCAATGTTAAATTTCTCAATAGTTTCATAAATTGGGAGAGAAGAATCCCAATTCTCACGAACAAGATGATCAAAATCATGATGTTGTAACCAGCCAGCTAAGTAGCGGAATTGTTTAGGTCTCGATTTTTTAGTCTGAGGGGTGATAGTTAGGAGCTGCGGATGGTGATCAGATTTCAGGCGGAGCAAATTTTGAATGGAAGAGTCGGGAAACGCTTCAAGCCAGCAACGATCTAAGAGGACAACACAATTGCTTCTGTACCAGGAGAAATCTGGACCATTGTAACCAATAGCATGGAGACCAGCATCAAAGATTGTGTCAATGAAATCTTGATCTGGTTTGCTAAAGTTTGAGCATCCCTTACGATCCTCGGGGGCAAGGGTGGCATTGAAATCCCCAATTATAGAACACGGTTCATGTATGAGACTACCCATTTGTTTCAAATAATGCCAAAAGTGTCGACGCTTAGAAGAGTTCGGGCTGGCGTAGATAAAGATGACAAGAGAAGAGCGTCCGTCGGCTTTTGAGTGGACTCTGGCGAATAAATTGAAAGTGACTGAAAAATATATCAATGTGCACAGTATCATAACAGCACAACCAAATCCCGCCTGAGAAGCCTTCAGCTTCCACACGAAAGGAGAATGGAAAAGAAAGAGCAGCAATAACATCATCTGCTCTGAAAGAACTGATACGGGTTTCTACAAACCCAATAATATCCGGCTTGTGATCACGAATATAATCCCGAGTAGTTCGAAGAAAGGAGCGGTTTCCGCAACCCTGAGCATTCCACATAAAAAGTTTAATATTCATGGATTTACAAAGGAGGAAGGGGAAGTACCAGAAAACGTAAATCACTCCTGCATGGCCGAGGGGCCATTATTGGCAGCAGAACCTGAAATGGCATCTTAGGAGTCAACGGGTGTGATTTGTCTGAATGTGTAACCGCTTGATGCTTAGAAGGGACAAGGATTTTGGTCTTTAGTGAGGGAGCATTAATGGTCAAGCCTTTGGATGTAGTTGCATGGCTACTAAGACCATGCATGGAAAGTCTAATGGTAGACAAGTGAGTAATCAATGAGCTTGATTTTTGGGGCCCAGGGAGATAGCTGTTGACTTTTTATTCTGAGAAACAATAGTTTTCCCTTCTTGTCTTTGTTTAGCTGGTTGGTCAGAAGTTAGGCTAGTGCTGGTATTCGGATTAGAGGCAGGATTTAAGGGAATGGAATCTGAAGTTTTGACCACAGTGGGTGTTTCCTAATGGTTGCATCGGGAATTACGGAAGAATCTTTTGCAAGGTCATCTCTTGCTAAAACTTCAAACATTGGATTAGCGTGAGTCAAGGCTTGACCATTTCCTTTTCCAGAGCGTATGATAGGATTTTGAATCCGGGAATTACAGTTCTTTTTTTCGACTATCATCCAAGGTTCGTAAGGGTCAACCGGAGCTAAGTCGGTCGGAACTTGGGGTATCGGCACTTGTGGTTCTGGGGCGAGAGGGGTCTCGATAGGGGCCTGGAGCTTTGGACAGTTGGTTTGGAGGTGACCATAGAATCCACAATGGAAACATACCATGGGCAAAGATTCATATTCGATGATCTGAGTTCTTCCATTTATGATAAGTTTTACAGAGATTAATATTAACGGTCATGCGAGCAAACCTACCACGGTATCCGTTATCAGTTTAGAGACCAGCGGTTTACAGAGATTAATATTAACTTCTTTTATAGAGAGTGATCGGGAGTCTCGGAAAACGGATCCATGCCATAAGATGACTAGGATACGCTTATGAAGGTTGAAAATCTATTGATCAAGGCTAGACAGTTAAGTAGTGGCCAAATATTTACCAAGGTCCCTCGTTGAGGACTTTAAGATAGTCATCTTTGTCACTGAATTTGACCGGAAAGAAATCATTTTCTATATCCATTAGCTTGATGGGGTGTGAGGGCCTCCAAATGTTGTAGATACGGTTCTGAAGAGGATGTATCCTATCCGACGATCAAGAACCTTAACCACAAGCACCAGGTCCATGCTTTTGATTGCCAAAGATTGAGTACGTTCAGAGAAATCAATAGTGGTGATGCCATTTAGGGAGTCAATGGTGACGTCATCTTCCAAGAGTTCAATATCATCTTCATCAAGGTCTGTAGTCTTGTCTTTGTTTTGGCCATCAGGTTTGCCGTTAAGCATGTCTCTGTAGGAGATGATTGGCCTGGAATCAGGAGAAAGGGAGTCGCAGTCGATGTGAATGGGGGAAGCAGCAGGAGGAAGCAAGTTGGGATCCAGCGACTCTTCGTCTCGACGGCGTTGCTTTTTGGGGAGTCTAGGATCGGGAGCATTTAGAGGGTTTTCCATTTTTCCTTGTGCTTCTTTTTATTCGCTTGTATAATGTTCCTTTAATCACTATGGTTTTGACAATACTCGCCTGTTCACATTGGCGCATGTTCAAAACTTTAAATAAAATGGGTAAACTATATGCATAATCATTAAAATATAGCATTAGTTTTACTTCGATCATCAAACTAAAATTTTATTAATTATATCATTTAATCAGTGGTAGATTTAGAAATTTAAGATTAGAGGTCCAAAATTTTAATAATATTATTTTAAAAAATGGGTATTCAAATTTTATTTTATTTTCCTCTTTTCTTTAACATATTAAATTAAATTTAATAATTTTCTCAAAATAAGATATACAATTGAACGCCTCTGAGATTCATGCATCCCATTTAATTATTTTTTTAAAAGGGAATTTGTATATTTTATTAATAAAAAACAACGAGAAATGCCTCATTAATAAACCTCTATAGATCTAAGCAGAAGAAAAAGAATACAACAATGCCGCCGTCACAACGCATAAGAGACAACCACACAAGTGTTGCCAAAGCATCAAGTCATTGACAATTAAGTATTAACGGAAATACTTGGATGATAAATGATAACATGTGTTATAATGACATTATTTGATTAAATAATTAGATTTATTAAATTAAAATTAAAATTAAATTAATAAAATATATAAACACTGAACATTAAATTACATATGCCACCATCTTGACAAAGACCCCACTGCTTCATCTCTGCTTGCTACATTCCATATTCTCTGAAACTGCATTCAGTTTCCTGATTTCCTTTTTTAGCAACGATAAGGTTCCTATAATTTTCCAAACATCTTTCTAATCGATTTTTCTTAATTTTGAGTTATTTCAATCCATTTATTTTCTTGTTTTAATTTTAAATTAATGGAATGTAAATTTATAAAGTAAAATAATTTTAATTAAGTAATTTGATTGATTTGTGATTTAGTTTTAATTATTTTAATTTTTAAATTTTATTAATTCTTTGACTCCTCTAATACTCTCATTAGTCATTAATATTTTATCTTCAAAATCAATTTTTTTAAACAATAACATTAAAAAAACTATTATAAAATTTTAGATGATATTTAATTTATTAAATAACATTATAAATCTTATTTATACATATGAAATATATGTATCGTATATAATTAGAGATAATTGTTTAAATTATAACAACTAAGTATTGTAATATTATAAATAATTATATTTAAATTTTAACAAAAACTTAAATAACTATATTTAATTCAATTAGGGAAAGTTCAAACAAAAATTTAAAGGATAAAATGATACACAACTAACATATTTTTTTTCTCAGTCGATTTGATTTAGTTAAATACTCACAACTACTCAAATTAATACAGTTAAAAATATGGGGGGTTTTAAACCCACTGAGTGATCTAAGTGATTAACTAGAGTGTTGTTTTTCCTTGAGATTTTAGATTCGAGCAGTTACGTCGTGTGTAGTGTATATGATTAAAAAATTGTAATCACCTCATATTATTAGAAGAATATTATCGAATAAATTTAACTAAAAAAATAAAAATTAAATTGACAAAACGTATATTAAGGGTTCCATAAAAGCAGATCAATCTCCTTACTGTAATTCTGGAAATATGTATAAATGTGAAAAGCCTCACCCTTATCTTATGCCATTGTCAGTAATCAGTTTTGAAAGCGACAACGAAACTAAAGTCCTTTTCTCATTGCTTTTTGAATTTTATCCTCCTATTTCTTTCTTTTATACATATATACCCATTGCTCTCTATCTCCATAGATACACACTTTCAATCACAGATCCAAAACCATGCCTTCTCCAGCTGATTTAGTTGCGTTGGGCTTATTATTATGTTTCCTGGTCTTGGTGGTCGGACCAGATGGAACACATGGCTCGAGCCGTGGTTCGTTTGGTCCAAACAATGGTGCAGCTGCACCTGTAAGCAATGGGATATGTGCCACCTCGGTGACTATCCATGGTTACAAGTGTCAAGAACATGAAGTAAGAGCTTTTTAATGACATTGATTTTTTAATAGTATGAGTGATTATAAGATAATATATGTTGATAACATCTTATAAACATAACAATTTGAATCCTCTTAAAGAAATTATAATATTTTTTCATGAAAAGTGGGTTATTTTCATTATCTTATTTATTTTGCAGGTGAACACAGAAGATGGATATATTCTGAACATGCAAAGAATCCCAGAGGGACGTGTAGGCTGGAGTAGTGGTGGTGGAAACAAGAAGCAGCCAGTTCTTATACAGCATGGTGTCCTTGTGGTGAGTTCATTTCTTTTTTCCATTTATTCGATTTTTTCGAATTATTTTGAATTTATTCGATTCATAATGTTACGAGATGATATGTTCAATTATCTTAAAATATAAAATCCTGAGAATTATTTCCCTTAGTTTGGTATGATATGGTGGTTGAAAAGTGTCGTTTCATTGCATATGGGATTGTGTTTTGACTCATCATGAGTATATTAGGTAATATTTTCTTCCATGGGGCAACCTCTTTAGAAAAATATTGCTGTGAATGCGTGTATGGTACATCACGGCTTGATTATTGCTTGTTTATAGTGCTAATTATGTGTTGCATGATAATAAAGACTCACCACTCTGTTCAATTCAAGTCATTAAATAGGGAAAAAACAATTTTGATTTTAGATTCTTTTAGATTTCTGAATGAAGTGTATTCTTCTAAATCACAACAGTGGAATGGTTAAAAAGAAGATAGTGAGTTGTGTATATTGACATTACATTGATGGAATGATAGATATTATAAATCAATAGTTTATGAGTGTTGGATTAGGTTGAGTTTCTCGAGTCTTAAAGTGGTTTTAGAAAAATCTAATCGGATATGGTGGTAAGAAATGATGAGCGGAGCTTGCTTGTATCTTAAGTGTTAGGAGAAAATGTTAGAGACTGAAAATTGCAACGTTCTCATGATAGAAATATGAAACTGTAAAATTTTCATTTTTAGAGGAAGAATATAAAATAATAAAAATAAAATGACGTAGATAACACATGAATTCCATATCAATAAAAAATATATATAAACACGCTTTGTTATCATGTGATTCTTTCATTTATAATTAACATCTGAATGATCAAAATAAGAACAAGCCGAAAGTTTAATAAATAAATTAAAAAAATTTAAAATCTAATAACTAAAATAAGAGTGAAAAAAGTAGAGTGATGAAATTTATAATTTATCCTTATTATAAAGACATAATAATTTAGGCATTTTGTTCCTTCACGAGGCCCTAAGAGATGGCTAAAAAAAGCCGAAATGGGTACACAAAATAATGCACCATTTCGGACGACCCAAAGTTTGGACCCATTACGTGGCCTAATATTACCGTAAAAAACATTGAGTTGTTTCATTAGGTTGAGAAGGTCGGTTTTGTATGTGTAGTATTCAATTTGAATTAATTATTTAATATAATAGATATAGATAATTATATATAAAAAAACATTTAGCTGCTCTACTTCATCCAATGGCACTAGCATTTCTGTTGGTTTTCAGGATGGGATGACTTGGCTCTTGAATTCACCAGAACAAAACCTGCCCATGATTTTGGCTGATAATGGCTTTGATGTCTGGATTGCCAACACCAGAGGCACCAGATTCTGCAGGCACCATGTTTCCCTTGACCCTCTCCACCCGGTTCTCTTCTTCCTTTCCCTGTCATCATGTTTGATGTTATGCTTTAATGTCGATGCATCATTAGTGATTGAAAGCTTGTTAAAACTGATAACAATGGCAGAAATTCTGGGACTGGTCGTGGGATGAACTGGTGACTTATGATCTACCAGCTGTTTTCGGCTTTGTGTTCAATCAAACAGGCCAGAAGATTCATTACATCGGCCATTCCCTGGTAACACACCATCCCGAAGCTAACCCGATTAATTCGACTCACCTGACACGACATTATCGTCCTTGACAGGGAACTCTTATAGGCTTGGCATCGTTCTCGGAGGGACATCAGGCAGATAAGCTGAAATCTGCGGCTTTTTTAAGCCCAATTGCATACTTAAGCCATATGAAGACTGCGCTTGGTGTGCTTGCTGCAAGAGCCTTTGTTGGTGAGGTATATATCTGAAAAAAAACCCTTAATTTCTCTTTTAAAATGAAAGAAATTTAAATAAATTAAAAAGGGTTTTTTTATGATAACGGCAAACGAATATGATTGAACAGAAAAATAGAAGACACCAAGATTTACCTGAAAAACTCAAAAAAGGAAAAAATCTACCAGCAGAGGAGGAGAAAATTTTATTAAATCAAAAAAGTATAAAATCTGTTACATTTGTTATAGCACGAAACCCTAATGTATATAGATCTTACAGTCTTGCTTACAACTTCATGGTCCGGTCTAAGAAGAAATTGAGTCATAACTCTAACGGGTATTAATGGGTTTTGCCAACAGATCACTACATTGTTTGGAATTGCAGAATTCAATCCGAAAGGGTAAGCATAATTATTGTTAAATTTTAAGTATGAACATTTTCCACAGTGATTTTTCTTTCCTTGATGTTCACAGACACGAGGCATCAGGTTTTCTCAAAGCTTTGTGTGGTTATCCTGGAGTTAACTGCTATGATCTTGTATCTGCAATTACTGGTAAAGATCTTCAATCCTGCTGCTTTTGCTTGTAACGGATCGAATCGGTTTCTTCAGATCATTTCGGGTTTTGTTACTTGTAATTTCAAGGTAAAAATTGCTGCCTCAACGCTTCCATGGTTGATATTTTCTTAAAGAATGAGCCTCAATCAACAGCAACCAAGAACATGGTGCACTTAGCTCAGAGTAAGACCATATAGCAATTCTAAACCATGAGTTTGAGTCGTGTTTGAATTCGTTTTCGTGATTCGCAGCCGTTCGAGACGGGGTTATTAAGAAGTACGACCACGGGAGACCAGACTATAACCTGATGCATTACGGGCAACCGAGGCCGCCGGCTTACAACATCTCCAACATTGCTCGGGACCTTCCGGTATTCATCTGCTATGGAGGGGAAGATGCTCTGTCTGATGTTTTGGATGTGCAGCAGTTGCTTGATCATCTCAAGTTCCACGATGTGAACAAGTTGTCGGTTCAGTACATAAAGGATTATGCACATGCGGATTTCATTATGGGCATAAATGCCAAGGATGTTGTGTACAATCAAGTTGTTCAGTTCTTCAAAAATCAGCAATAATATCAAAAGAGTTATCACAAGTTGAGTAGTGTTTGATTTGATTCGAAAATTATTTAATTCTTGTTCAATTCAAACTGTTGCTTACTAAGCTCAATAAAATTTACTCGACTCGTACTTATTAAAAAAATCATTGTTCATTAAGCTTGCCAAAATCTTTTTTTCTTTTAATATATATAAAATCTAGTAATACTATATAGAATTTAATATTAATATAAATTAATAAATTTAATAAAATATAACCAAATAGTGTGTAAAATAATTCGAAGTCTAAACTCTAAAGTAACAATTCACAAGTATAATAATTATTTTTAAAAATTCTAACAATACATAATCAATCTTAAAAAAAACAATTAATATCTTAAAAAATTATTAAAAATAATGAATTATTTATGAATTTATCAAGTCGAATTAAGTTTTACACAATCAAATTGTACAGTTGTTTAAAAATCATCAATGACCATGAGGCTGTAATTTTAATTTTAACAATTAGAGGGAAATAATCGTTTTAACAGTTATATGTTTTACATATGTTAAGGTCTTGTTTAATATTATAATTAAAGAGTGTTTTGGGATTAAAATTATTTTCTGAATACAAAAGCAGAAAAATCCCTATAAAATATTTAACTTAATAATCGAAGGTTTAATATAAAATATAGTTAAATTATACTTTTTTCTTATTTAAGTGTTTAATTTTGTTGTTAATATATATATCTAATGTTACAAACGTTATCATTTTAAATGTCTTGATCGTAACATACTTTTATTATCATAAATTATTTAAGTGTCAAAAGATCACACAATGATCATACAAGAAAAAGAGTCAAATAACCTAACCAAATAAATTAAAACAAAAGGTAGATACAAACATATCTAACTATATCTGAAAATGAACCACAAAAGAGAATAAAGTTATTGAAAGATCACCATAAAACCGTAAACCAGAAAAGAATAACATGAGAAAATTATCCATGAATACAAATCACGTATTAAAATCTTATCTGAGGATCAAAAGCAAGAAAGATCAACATGATAATTGTAACATCCTCAATACCGGGTTAGTGATTTAAGTGTAAGATTTTAAAAATTCAGTGACCAAATTAAATAAATCGAAAAGTGAAGGAATTAATTAAAAGATGTTGGTGTAGGATGAATTAATAAGTAAATGAGAAGTGAAAGGGTAAAAGGGTCATTGAACAAATAAAATAATAAATTGTGGGTATTATAATACCCATGTGGATGAATTGAAGAGATAAGAAACTTATCTTCTTCATCTTCTTCTCTCAACGTGAAGCACCCAAGCTTAAGGTAAGAATCTAAACCTTGGTCGTTTCTTTGATTTTTAGCTTGGAAATTAAAGTTTGGATGTTATATAAGCTAAAGGAAAGCTTATATGACATTAAAACAACAAGATAAATGTTTTAGAGATATATTTGAAAAATGGGTTTTTAGATGAAATTTTGATATGGATGAGTTTTTGAGATTTGAATAAGATTTTTGACTTGTCAAGAGGTTAATTAAGGAATATAGAGTGTTAGAATTGATTAATAACATGTTTGAAATTTGTGTATGATTCTTAGCTTTAAGAATTTGAATGAAGGATGACAGCATAGTGTACAACCTCACAGTACCCACATACCTCGGGTTCTCAGTATTGTATCATGGGCTATTGAATCTATTGAACTTACGGAATTTATTATATGAATTTATGATGATTAAATTGAGAAGATTATTGGTAAGGTACATTGTTATGTAGCTTACATTGATTGCATAGATGTTTTCGTTACGTTTCATTTTATTATAGCAACATTGTTATATTTCATTATTATTAGAGAAAATAACCTCAGTGACCAAAATTCCTTATAATATACGATTTTAACCAACTTTTTTACGATTTGCCAAAATGACCAACGCGATGCGATCTCCATTATCGCAATTCAGTTTCCAGATTCGCAATGCGATTTTGACCATCGCATTGCGATTTTCGAAATCCGTGTTGCGATTTTAGATAATCGCAATGCGAATATGTAAATCGCAATGCGAATATGTAAATCGCAACGTGATAACATGTGATCGCAACGCGATTCTGACTATCGCAACGCGATTCGGACTATCGCAACGCGATAATACGTGATCGCAATGCGATTGTGACTATCGCAACGCGATTCTGACTAACGCATCACTGAATTTCAAATTCGCAATAGGTTTTAGTTTCGCAACACAAATGGTATATAACTACTACGCAGCAGCATCAACTTATAACCTAAATCCCTAAATCGCAACTCATTCCATCTCTATCTATCACTCTCTCCGGCGACATCCGTTCCTATATCCAACGACATCCTTCCCCATCCGGCAACAAGTTTTAGTTTCACAGCTCGTTTATTTAGTAAATTAATTTACAATAATGAAATCATCTAATGTTGATCATGTTTGGATAGATTTGTGTTTTGGAGGGTCATAGGAGAATGTTCATGGTGTTTTACAATATATGCCTTTACCCATGAATCTTCAACTAAAACTGTCATTAAAAAAGTTAACTTATGAAACTCTAATGTTACATGTTGCAAATAAATTGAATTTAGAGCCCTTAAGTGGATTTAGGCTATCTTATCAGAGAAAAGGTAAAGTTTATTTGTTAACCGACAATGAAGATGTTGAACGATTCATTGCTTACATTAGTGTTTCGCAAGATGATGTTACATTGTATGTTGTTGAACCTAGAAGTAGTGAAGTTGGGTCAGTAGCGGGTAGTAATCAACTAAGTTTTTCAACCCTAGTTTATGGTTCTTAAAATTTAATGGTTCCACCACAATTTCATCACCAAGAAATTTTGTTTCACCACATTTCCAATACCAAACACAATCTCAAAACCCACAACCTTTCCCTAATCCAAATCACAATCAACTTTCAGCACCAAATTTTGGTTTTCGTATTAACCAGTTAGACGATGATGAGCCAACAGAAAAAATTGTGAGTACTAGTCGGTATTCGAAATTTGATCTTGGTCAATACCCGGACTTTGATCTTGGTCAATACCCGGACTTTGATCTTGGTCAATACTCAGATTTTGATGATGTTTTAGAAGAAGAAACAGACCATGCGTGTAATGATTTTGATATTGGTCAATACCCGAATTTTGATGATAAACAGCCTCTGTCGAGAAAGATGTTGTTGATGATAATGAGGAGGAAGTTACGACTGTGAATGAACATGTTGAACATCCATTCTTTAATTCATATAACCCTGAAGAAGAAAAAAAAAGAAGAAATCCCCGAAGAAAAGTCCCCAAAGAAAATACCACGGGAGTATAACTGAAATATGCCAGAATTACTTCAGATTCCGGAAGAAGAGTTGGTAAAAATAGCAGTTGATTATTACACAAAAATTATCCATATCAAGAAAGATGATTGTTTTGATACAAAGGAAGACTTGAAGATAGCTTTGTATACGAAATGTGTGGAAGATGGCTATCAACTAAAAGTTAACAAATCAAGCAAAGATCGTTTCGAAACAAGGTGTATGATTGACAAAAACTGTACGTGGCATATGATTGCAAAGAGGATAAAAGATTGTGAAATGTTTCAAGTTAGGACTTTTATTGATAAACATACATGTTCAAGAACCCAAGTTTTTCCTCACTATAGACAGACAAACAAAAATGTGTTGGGTGGTTTTCTGGCTGAGTTAATGTTTTTGAATGGTAGGGTATATCGGGGACATGAAATTATGACTGACATGAATGCTCGGTTCAAGATTATTATCTCATATTCTCAAGCTTGGAGAGCCAAATGTTATGCCTTGGAATTGTTGAAGGGGTCGCCAGAAGCATCGTTTGCCCAACTGCCGGCTTATTGTCATAATTTAAAGCTGAAAAATCCTGGGTCGGTAACTCATATCAAAACAGATAGAGATGGATGCTTTGAGTTGCTGTTTATCGCCATTGGTGATGCGGTTAGTAAATCAATATAATTTTGTTGACTCATTTTTGTTAGTTACATGCATTTCACATTTAAATGATTATATTTCTTGTATATATGATTTTGTAGATTCGTTCATTTATTACTTGCATGCGCCCAGTTATTATAGTTGACGGAGCACATTTAAAAGGTCGATACCTTGGAGTAAACTTATTAGCAGTAGCCATGGATGCTAACAATGGGATACTGCCAATAGCTTACGGGGTTGGCAAATCTGAAACCTCTGATTCATGGACATAGTTTATGGGGCATCTTAGGGATTACATAGGTCCTATTAGCAATCTGACAATCATATTCGATAGGGAAAACTCAATTGACAACGATATTAGAAGGTGTTTCCCAGATGCTTTTCATGGACTTTGTGGTGTTCATTTATATAGAAATCTAAAATCAAGATCTGTTGGTATAAAAAATCACAAATGGACATACTAGAAGGCTGTAAAAGCTTATCGGGAAGTGGATTTTAATAAGCATATAAATTGTTTAAGACGTGTGTTGAAAACATTTTTATATTTTGATATAACAAATTAAGTTAAATGAATTTTAAGATTTTCCAAATGATTTTCTAAGTATATTCGATAGAATTATTCGAATATCAGAACATTACTCTAACTCTTTCAAAGATCATTTTTAATCCTTTCTCAAAGTGTAAAATTAAGTTTTAATCTTAAAACAATTTCAAAACAATTTTACAAAGTATTTCGAACCATTTTAAAGCCAAAAATTCTAGATTGCTCAGAGGGAACCGATTCCCCCATGAATGGTTTGGCTCCGAGAATTCCAGTATGCTCGGAGGTAACCGATTCCCCCCCAGGGGGTACCGATTCCCCCTTGTATAACGGTCGAAATATTTGAATTTTACACTGAAAGAACCGATTCCCCATAGGGGGTACCGATTCCCCCCACGCTCCAAACTGTTTTATTAATTGTTTTCACACTAAAACGGCTATATGATCTTCACTAATCATTCCCAACGTTCAGACGTGATTCAAGGTGTATTTAAACAAGTTCTGAAGCCTTTGAAAGATAAGAAATCATA